GCTGGAAAAAAGGGTCCCCTGTGAGTGAGAGGTGTGCTCCTGCTTCACTCCACTGGCCAGAACTGCCTCAAACTTTCCAGGGCAAGGCTATGCTGTGATTGTGGTGTTTTGTCCATGGCTACCAGGTTTATGGGACACCAGGGAGACCCCCTTTTCCTCCCATCCCCCTCCCAGTGCAAGCATTTTGTTTTTCTTCTTAATTAGTGGAAAAAATTCCTGAACCTGTCAGAGAAAAGGAAGGTCTTTCTCTCTCTCTCTCTCTCTTTGTGTGTCTCTCCTCGGTCAATTACTGAAATACAAACAATATCCATGGTCATGGTGAAACATTTTTTCCACCTAAATAGCACCTCTGCAGATTTTAAAGGCACAGGCCACTTTGCACAGGCCCTCGGCATGAGAGATGCCCAGGAGGCCCTGCAGAAATGCAGGCACTTCCCAAAACTTTTCCTCACAGACATCAAGGCAGTGTGTGCAGCATCACAGCAAGCCCCCCTCTGCCTTTCTTTCTGAGAGAAGCTAACACCCCAGCCAGCCCAAATGCCACCTCTCCTGAGCACCCTCCCAGCCTGCTGACCCATGAAACCTGCTGACATCCCCAGGCCTTGGATCCATGAAATCAACTCTGTGGGGGAATGTAGGTGTGAGGAAGGGCTTCTTTCTGGGAGCACACCTTGGTTCAGTCATCAGCACTTTTCCTGTGCTGACCTAATTTACTTTTGTCTCTGATGTTGTTGCTTGCAGCTGAAGAGACCAACAGTAGCTGACACCATCTCCTCTGCTCTTCCCTGAGTCTGTGCTGAGATTCCTGCTGAAAAATCATATATTTTCATGCAGAAAACAGCCAAGCAGGTCCTGGCTTTGGGGACCAGAGCCTGCCTTCACTGACTGCATCTGCCAGCTTTGGGCAGGGCCAAAGGTCGGAGCGTTTGGGAACTTGGGATTTTCCAAAGCTGCTGGGACAAGACCTATGGCCAAGCTGCTTGCCTGGTGCTTCTGCACCATCCATTGAATTTTTGCAGCATGTGCAAAAAAAATCCACAGCAAACATTTTGAAAACTGCATCGACTGTCAAACCACAAACCTCCTTGCTGCCTGAGTCCCTGCTGTGTTTGGGTTGCTGCTTAATCCCTTGCAAACAGCTTTATTGAGATAGTAATAAAAAAGTAATAAAAAACGAGGTTGCTTCCCTTGAGGCTGCCTTTACTCCAGGCTTTGCTGTGAATCCAAGGCAGTCCAACATGCCAGAGTCCTATCTGGAATTTGCCTGACTGAGGGAGAAAAATAGTAGGTGAGCCCTACCAAAATTTTATATTTTGGTATCTTTAATCTCTCGGCTCCTCTGCCAAGAGTTTCACGGACCCACCTCTGTGCCTGTTAACTCCTTGTGTTAACCATTGTCTGCACTCCCTGCAGGGACACCACTGCATTTGGGGTTACCTTCTGCTTCTCTTAGCACTCATTTTTTGCAGGGCTCTGCCCTGTGACAAAATCCACAAACAACTGAGGCTGCCTGGCTTCCTTGCAGTGTCTTTTAAGATGGGAAATTCCCAAGCCTGCAACAAGTTCACTTGGTCACGGGCAGATCATGGATCAGGGAGGGGCAGCACCCTTTGGTCACAGGCTGTCTGAAGGCGAGTGAGGAACAGCTGCATGCTCAGGCAACGAGTTTTTGTTGTGGGGTTTTTTCCTAAATGGCTTTCAATTCTTCATATTTTTCTTTCCTCCCGCTTTGTACCCTGCTTTTACCTTGGCACAGCTGGCTTCTCTATCCCCAGGGCCCACCAGATATTGGTGCATGGACAATGTGGTGGGGTCACACTCCAATGCATCCCTATCCCACCCTGGGATAAAGAGGGAAAGCACTGATTTTCACTGAGCTGTCTCCTGCCAGGTCTGGACTGTGGGCAGGTGAGGCAGCAGGACACAGTGGCTGTCGTGGTAGGGGCACAGTTTATGCCAGGGAGGCACGAGCTGAGTGCAGGGAGGAAAATTCCTGTATGGGCTTTGTGCCACATGGCTGGGCTGGAGAACGCTCTTCCTTCGAGCCAGAGCCAGGTGTGGGGAGAGTTTAAGCTGTTTGTATTCCTGAGTACCAACAAAATAAGCATTCAAGGGTTTTCCCGAGCCTGTTCTTGCAAACTGATTTTTCACTTCATTTACCCATGAAACAGATTTAGTTGAATGACATATCCCAAGACTGGGCCTTTAGGTAAAGTTGCAGTTGAGCAATTAAATCAGGGACAGTTGCCAAAACTCCCCAGCACTTCTGAGATCACCTGCAGCAGTGGGTTCACCAAGCTGCTGGAGACAGTTCCAGCAGCGTGCTGCTAACATTTATTTCCTGAGCCTGGCTTTGCGGGGTGGGTGTAAACCACCAGCTCCAGCGCTGAGAAGTGGCACAGGTCCCTCCTTCCTGTGCCCTATGCTGAGCTGTGCTGAATGCACACCAGGACGCTGTGGCAAGCAAGCAGCATCTGGACAAGCCCCAGGACAAGCCCCTGGACAAGCAGATGCTGTACATGGGTGCCAGGCATTGGGCAGGGGGTGGCTCCAGGTGCCAGGGCTCGCAGCCTTTCAGCACCAGCTCATTCCAAGGTGTTAAAAGCAGAGATTGCACTTGCAAATGGGGTTGCCTGGGGACCTCCGTGGACAAGCAGTGTGCTGGGACACCAAGCCCTTCCTCCCACTCCCCAGTCCAGGATGATGCTCCCATGTTTCCTGTGCCATATACCCCTTCTCAAAGTCAGGTCCTCAAGCCAAAAGAAATCTCATGCCAAAAATCTTTCTTTTCCCTGAATTATCCTCTGGAAATCAAAGTGGGGATTGTGATTTTGCCTGTGTTTTTATTCTTGGGGCAGATAGAGCTCACCATTACTCCCTCCCTTTGGAGGATCAGAAAAAACCAGGACCTCACTCCAAAATGAACCATATTCAGCAAGGTGTACACCTGTGAGAATCAAGCTTGTCCTTTAAGGACATCCTGGATTACTCCTGCACACTGATGTCCCCAGGTTCACCACTGCAGCACAAGTCTCCTCTTTGGTCTGTGCTCCTCACGGCTGAGCCATGGACTGATGGTGCTGTGCACATGCTGGGGGGACGCCAAAATTCAAGCACAGGGCAGGACCTGCCTGTGCTCCCCACAGCAGGGCACACAAACAGCAGATGTGTGATACCTCCCTCGCTGGGAGGAAAGGGAAATGCAGCGGTCCTTCTGACCAAGGGAAGGACTGCTGTTGTCTAGAGATGTGACTAAGGAGGGAAGAGGCCAACTGTTTGTACAGCTTTGGGAAGTGTAAACAGTGCTGACTGTCCCAAACCCTTCAAAGCAGAGGAATCCGGAGATGGGATGAAAGCACAGGGAAATTCTGTCCGGGTGTCCTAGCAGAGCAGCTAAGGAGAAGGGGACCTCTTCAAGACAAAAATCCTCGCACCTGAGTCATTTCAAACCAGCCCAAGTGAGGAAGGAGGAGCACAGCACGGCTGGCCTTGGGCAGGGCTGTGTGTGGGCTCTCAGGACTTCTCCAGCTTTGGTTGCTTCTCTCTGCAATATCACAACAAGTGTCCTGAAAAGGAAACTGGAGGTCCTGGAAATCCTGCTGTGCCCCGCAGTGAGCTGCTTTGGCCTCTGCTTTTCATTCAGCTCACAAAAGAAAGAGAAAATGCTGTTCAAGAGGTGATTTCCTTTTCTTTTTTTTTTTTTTTTCTTTTTTTTTTACAACTTTAAATACAGTACTGAGTATAAATTAATCTTACATTAAAAAAAGGCAAAAAAATTAAAATAAAATAAAACAAAACCTCACCATATTTACAAACCAAAAGAAACAGATTTTGGAATAGGGTAAGAAAGAGTCTTAAGACTTGAGGGCTTGGGCTGGAGGGAGGGAGCAACATGCTGCCTTGGCAGTAGTACGAGAAGTGCTCTGGGCTTGCAGGAGGTGAGGACTGGGTCCCTCCACAACTTGTAACAGCTCCCAGACTGTGGCTTTGGCTACTTTCCCCTCCCTCCAGAGCTTTTCCCCACAACAGGGGTGTATGTGCAAGGAGAGAAGTGCCGTGTGATTGCTTTGGGTAGGCATTTTCTCCATGTATGCAGCATCCAGCACAGCACAATCCAAAACCCTGACTCCAAGGTGATGCTGGGAATTCCTATCCTATGTAACAATTCTGCTAATGGTAACTGACTATTACCTGTGCAAAACCAGACCTTGCCCACATAGTCCTCCTCCCTCCTTGAAGACAGGCAGTGGCCCAGGAGGGACTCTACAACTGACTCCAGCTGTTCTCTGAGTCCTCCTCGCTTAGAAGAGCTCATTTCTGTCTCAGATGGCTGCTGCCAACTGTGAAGACCATCCTCACTTCCTTCTCTATACCTACACAGAGCTGTCCACATCATGGATCAACTTCCAAGCTAAGTGGGTTGGGAACATTTAATAGGTAAAGATCAAGAAGGAATTTGAGAGGGAAAATGTGAGGAAAATGATGTGAGATGTGGGAACATTGGCTGGGAAGGATTAGTGGAGGCACAGTATGCAGGACATCCAGGAAGGGGTTAAAAACCTCGTGGGAATGACATGATTCTGCTTTCAAGACCACAGAGCAGGCAAAGACAGCTCACTGAGATTAAGTCATGTCTCTAAGTTTGGCTGTCCTTGGTCTTGTTGTGGTGCCACTTCATCTCCTGCAAGGAAGTTGTGCTGGGGGAGGGGGTGGTGGTGCTGGTGCAGAGGGAGAGAAAAAGGTAACAAGAAAGAGAGAGCTCAGATGATGCCTCTGCCTGCCCCGTCCCCGGCCTCGCAGGCACATTGCAGTAACAGTGTGCTTTTCTTTTCTGCCAGCCCAGTGAAGCCGATGCATGCATGTGCCTCTGAAGTTCCTGCCACTGGGGAATGAAATCCATTTAAGAACATATATATATATATATTTTTATATATGTATGTATAAATACACATACACACACACACACACATGCACATGTATATATATACACACACACACACACACACACACACACACACATGTACACACGCACACATCCAGAGTGAATTTAAAAAATAATTTGAGTCCGAGCCTGGAAAGTTGAATTCTCCACCAGCATGTGCAAAGATGGCTCCCCTTGGCAGGGGCCGGGGGTGTGGAGACGATTCTGCCGCCGTGTGCTCCTTCCCCACGATCCAAACACCTTCCAGTCAGCACCAGGAGCAGGGCAAAGAGGGAGTGGGGGAATGCATTTGGCTTCTTTGTTTTGTTTCTTTGCTTGTTTGTTCTGTTCCCCGAGATGTTGTATACCTTAGTGGTTTTGGTTTTTCTTTTTAAAAATAAAATATACACACGCATGTTAAAAATATATATCTGTCCAGGTAGGGCGATTAAAGTCCTTAGTGCATTTTCCATCATTGGTTGCCGCTCGCAGTCTGAGATTTACCTCTTTCCAAAAGGTAAGTCCAACACAAGAGTAGATCTCAGCTGGGCCCCCCCAGCCTTACCAGAAGCATGAGGGAAAGGGAGAATGTTCCCCTTCTGGCCTCTGTCCATCTGTTTTTCTCCTTCTCTCAGAAGAAATTGGACCCGCTTTCCTTTTCACATTTTCCATCCTGTCCTCCGTAGCAGGGAAGGAATTGTCCTGTTCTCATCACAAGTTCTGGCTGTTGGCATTCACGGTTTTGTTTGTACTTTGTTCTTTTCTCACATATATACGTATATGTAGGTCATCCTTGTCCTTTTGTGTGTGTGTGTGTGTAAAACTTTAAAATTATGCTAATAAATGAAAGGGAGGCTTTGGTGGGAGAAGGTCCACTGATGGAAAGGGAAGCACCAATTGCCGTCTGAATCAGACGTGGAGGCAGATGGACAAAGAGGAAAAGTTATCATTCCAAGGACCCCATGGGGGCAATACAGCAAATACATTAAATAAACCTGGAAGTGAAACAAAACCAGACACAGCATTAGAACATGTAACCCTTTGCCCCCTGCAACACCCCTTCTATCCCCTTTTCTCCCCTGGAAATATTTGTGCCCAAGAGCCAGATTAGAAGCCTGGGAGGACTTTTGACCTCCTCTATTTTTTTCCCCCTGAACAGCTTGAGCCAGAGCTGAGATTTGCATGGGTTTGCATCATTTGTACCCCTGAAACTTTAGGCTGGCCAGGAGAATCCTGGGATAATCAGAGACCTTGTAGTGCTAAGCGTGGGAATCCCAGTCTCAAGACACTGCCTGGTGCCCCTTGTCCCCAGCTCCTGAAATGCCACACACGGAAGCCAGCTGTCCCCTCTCCATGGGTGAAGGGAAGCGAATGTGAAGTGGTTGCCTGGGCTTAATCAAGTGGCTGCAGCAGAGCTGGAACTGCTGAGCTGAGGGCCAGGGCTCTCCCTCTTAAGCTGTGCCACTTCTCTCTAAATTCAGCTCCCACCAATCTGCACCCTGACTACTCTTTCCTTCTTTTCTGCACCTTTTCCTCTCATGGGGAACCAGGGCTTAGCCTCCTTTCCCTTGTACCAGTGAAATTCTTCTGATGATGAGGGAATTACTCCTGTTTACACAAGTCATGGAGAGAAGAATCAGACCCTGGCCTGACAAAGTCCAGATCTCTTGCCAGAGATTCCAGTTCTCCTTTCCCCTGGTATGACCTTTCTCATGCACATAGGCTTCCCTCTAGGAGAGTGATGAACCAAAATTGTTGCTGCTTTTCAGTCTTTCTGCCAACTCAGCTAATGAAATATAAGGAAAAGGGATCCCTAGAGCAACATTAATTCTCTGTTTTCAATGGAGAACCAATAGAGAAACTAGATTAGGAGTTGCCCCGCAGAAGAGATGAATTAGATGGACCCCGAGGGGATTTAGGTGCAGGGAGAAGTCAGGCTTGTTCTCTGCCTGAAAGGGAAGCAGAGAAAGGAGAGGGCGGGGCCTGAGAGCAAGGATGGCTGCAGCAGGATCATTCCAACTTTGCAAAGAGCCTTAATTCCATAAATAGAATGCACATGTTGGCACCCAACCTAGTTATTCCTCCTCCTTCTACCCAGGTTTTGTCCTGCAGTAGCCCCACACCGAACGAGTGGCCAGCGGTGTGGGAAGGGTCTAAAGATGCCATGTCCCAGGAGGACATCTTTCCTGACTGGAAAAGCAGCTTGCTGTTACCTGCCTTGTGCTCTCTCTCCCCTGCCAGCACTTCTATGCTATGAGGATTTCTTTCAGCACTTTCTTATCGTTGACGTGCTTGTACTTCTTATGTTTCCTCTTCTGTGCCGGCGGCCGGCGTACTCGCCGCCTCTGTGAGACCGCGGCTGTGGTGAACGCCGGTGACAAGCCTGCCAAAACAGAGGGGAGAGTGTCTGTGCAGCCGGGGACAGACGGCTCCTGTTGAAATATCCTTCTCCACACACTGTCAACAAAGAGCTCTGCAACAGCAGGGCCACAAGGCCTCTTTCTGTTCTTCTGTTTCTTGTCCTCTATTCTCCCCAATCTCTGCCCTCTCTCTTTTCCCACCATGCCCTTCCCCTCACCTCTCACCTTCCCCTCCTTCTTCTCCCTCAGTTTCATCCCCTTCCCGGCAGGCAGACGCCCTGGGAAAGGTCCCTCAGCTGGCATAAACCAGCGAAGGCCCTCGGGATTCCCTGGAGCTAAGCAGATTGAAACCAGTGGAGGTCTCTTTTCTCTCTGCCCAGCCCCTCTTCTCACAGCTCCCTTCATTCTACTAATGCCCAGATCCTTACGTCTCTGTTCTCGTGGCCCTGGACGGATGTTCCTGGGGGGTGGTCGGAACACGGCTTCACACCGACACTGCACATGATCCTCCAAAGGCACAACCACTTTCGTGAATTTTGGCTTCTTCTGGACAAATTCGATCTTGTTCACCTATTTGCAAGAGGAAGGCAAGCAAAAGATTAATACAGCCACGGCTCCCACTTTGTAAAATTACTCAGTGTCGGTGCACTTTAGTCCTGGCTTTCTTCCTAAAGGGTCAGAAGGCAGCTTACAGAGCGCTGTTCAAACTCAAAACTCAGACTCAGGGGTGGTGTGTGTGTGTGAGATAATTCTGAACATGGCAGTAGAGCAGACCCAGACCAGGCAAGTTTGGATGTCTCTGGCTGGTTCCCCTGATCCTAAGTATTGCCAGAGCTTAAGCAGGAAGACTGGTTGATCAGAGACAGAAACATGGAACATGCAGGACCTGCTAGATTGTTTCTGACAGATGCGATGGCAGAGATCTGGGGCAACCAGGATAATTCCCACAGGAACCTACAGGAAGGACAAAAGGAGAAGAACCCGGTCCGAAGCAATCTAACACAGCCTCACCAGCTCTGCTGAGGCCTGTCTGAATTTGTTTCAAGCTCTTTAATAACTCGCAGGGCTGAAGCCCTCGGCTCTTCATGGGAAAGGCAGTGCTCTGGAAATTCCCCCGGACTCTCCACCAGTGCTGACTCAGAGGGAAGACTCATTACTCCACATCCCACCACAAGGCACAAACTTTGTAGGGGGTCCTCCCACTCCAGCAGCAGCCAGGCCTGACCCCACTCAGCTTATCTAACAACTCTGCGGTCCCTGAAGTGCTCCACAAGCTATAAATACTCACTGTGCTGTGCATCTGGGATGGAATTCCTCTAAACCCACTGCCCTCAGCAGCATCCCTCAGCCAGTGCTGAAGCAGCCAGGCTGTTTATCTTTCCTTGAAAGCCCACTCCACACGCTTCAGACCACACGCTGCTCACTCGACAAACACTTCCAGCCAAACAATAGAGAGACCTCTGTCCTCAAAGAAACCATTTCCAGGTCACTTTTTCAGGCTGGCTTTTGACCTCTCACTTGTTTTTTTCCAGAAAAACAACTCCTGCTCCCCCCCATTTTTTCCTCGTTCAGCCTAGCTTTTCTGAGAAAGGAATTTCCTGATGAAAAGGGCTGTGTGTGAATACAATCTCTCCCAGCCAACCTCTGCCGCCTGCCTGGGGGAGTCTCTCATGGCTCAGGCAGAGGATTAGTATGGGATGAATATTATTTTTAAACAAGCTGTCTGGGAGGAAGCTGTGAGGAGATCACTGGTAGCTGTGAGGGGAGGATCAGAGCAAGAGGTTAGCTGTCAGGTGTCTGCTGGCTGATGGAGCAGGTCAGGAGGTAACTGTGGGCTGAGAAAGAGAAGCTGTTCCAGTGCAAGTCTTGGAAAGAAGCTGCAACAGCAGCAGGGGTGCAAACCCTCCTCTTTTTGCATCAAAGCCAGTTCCTGCGATGAAAGCACCCTGTTTCTTTTGCTCTAACACAGCAGACAAAGCTGCCTCGAGCCACAGGGAGGGCCGTGGCACGGAGCTGCAGCTGGGGACAGTGCCCTGTACTCTGTGTGGTGACAGTCCCAGCTGCTGGACAGCACCAGCCCTTCTAGCAGCTGGCAGGGACGTCACCCGCGCCAGCCCAAGCAGCGCTGCATGGCCCGTGCAGAGGGGACAGACACGAGCCCCGCACCCGAGAGCCACCCCACCTTTGGCTTTGGGGCGCAGGGCTGGCAGGAGCAGGGAGCAGTGGCAGGTGTGTCCCCTACCTGGACGTGCCGGACGCGGATCTGCGTGGGGCGGCACTGCACGTTGCGGTTGTTGCAACACCCGGAGCAGCGCTGCACCTCCACGCAGGGCGGCCACACCACGAAGTTGGCGTTGGTGCTGTCCACCATGTTGCGGGAGATTTCAAACACCACCTCCCGCGTCTTGCACTCCGCAAGGACAGCTGTCTCTGCTGCTGCCAGAGCATCTATGGAGGGCCAAGATAGAAACGGGATGAAATGGGCTTTGCAGCTGTCACCACCCCACTACAGCCATCTCTGCTGCAAGTGAAGGGCCCCACATGGCTCTCACATGCAGAACACACCTATGTTCTTTCTCCCGTCCCTCCAGCTCTGTCCCTATACAGAGCCACGCCCTGTGGAGGAAGCCCCAGTACACTGATGCTTCTCACTGCAGCCCAGGCAGGAGATGACACTTTAGAGCAAACAAGCACCGTTGGGATTTAAAGCAGAGCAGTGCACAGAAGTCCAGACTCCCTCTCCTGCCCTCCCAGGGTGACAGCCCCCAGCTCCCACTCCACGCCCAGACCCTCATTCTCATGTCTCTACACATACAGGGGCACTTTAAGCTCTACCTCTACATCTGTATCTCAGACGCATATCTGGACCACCCGTGGCTGCTCAGGTGAGTGCCCCAACAATCATAAGGTGCAAGAGCCCCAGCTCACCTAGGCTTCGTCGCTCTCGAGACAGGGCCACAGGGTTTTGATCGGGCTGAGTTGCATTCAGGTTCAGGCTTGAGCTATCCTGCTCTGCAAAAGGGAAGACATGACCTAATAGCACCAGGTAGAGGCAGGAGAAGACAGCAGGCACTTGTGCTCAGATCGCCAGGCAAAGTGCAGGGATAAGCCACGGACCCAGCACGTCATGCTAGGTGTAAATCCATGAGCAAGGTCACAGCTGTGCTGGGGCACAGACACTCTTAGCTCAGACTCGGCAGCTCAGAGCAACAAGCCTATCATGAAAGAGGAGACCCAGTCAGGTCTTGGAGAGGAAAACTCCAGCTCAAGAAAAATAAGGCCCGTGTCATGACTCTCTGGTGTCAGACAGGAGTTGCAGAGGGATTCAGCTGAGACCAGGATAACACCACGGAGGATCAAAGGCCAGATGAGACAAGCAGAACGCTTGGTATTTAACACTGAGGTGCCTTGCTGGGATGGCTTGGGACTGGGAGAGTTGAGAGGTGAGAGGGCAGGTGAAGGGGGGAGTGGGTGGTAGGTGGGGTGCTTGCTTTCTCTCTCCCAACTCACCTCAGCTGCTCTAGATTAGAGCAGTTTTATGACAGAAGAACAGAAAAATAAAGTTAAAATTACTTTTTCTCTGGACTACTCTAAGGTAAGAGGCAGGATCTGGAGGTGGTTCAGTCGGCGATGGGAGAGGAAGACCGATAGCATTCAGGCCAGCCCAGAGCGGTTCCCTCCCACTCCACTGCTTTTTCCCATAGGAAGTGCTGAATAGAGAAATGCCCATAATCCCCATGGAGCACTCCAACACGCAGCCCCTCCTGAGCTCGGGACAATGGCTGCGCTCGAAGATAGCTCCCACCCAGCCACAGCTCCTTCCTTCTCTGACCTGCTTTAGCAGCTGAAGGAAACTGAATGGACGTCAGCATCAAGGGAGCAATTTTCTTAAAGGGAATTAGGGGCCAGTGGAAGATCTCTGTTTATCAGATGTGTGGTGGAGCAGACTTCCCTTACCTATCATGTCCCATTCCTCTTCCTCAGCCCTGCCCTAGTGCAGCCCTCTCATAAAGAGGAGCAGGGACTTTGCTCCTTGCTCAGGTCTCAAGCAGTTGATGACAGATTTGGGATGGGTGCACAGAGGCTGCATTTTGAAGGCAGGAATCACATCTACGAGTGAGGTAGACAGACAGACACCCTTGAAAGTGTCTGGAAAAGTGATCAGTCATAGGCATCATTTGTCTCGCCTTCAGGCAAACTCCTAAAATGAGAACTGGTGGATCACGCTTTAGAAGGGTCAGCCTCTTTGGGCTAGAGAAGGTGTCTGGATGACTGATTTACATGGGCAGCCACTGCTTTGTGGGCAACCATAGTTAAGGAGATGACAGCCACTCTCCACTTCTGTTGCTGGGTCTGCAGTAGTGCCCAAGGTGAGGAGAGCAGTGTCTCAGCCCATCTGCCTCCTGGAGCTGCCCCATTCTGGCCCCTTGTGCAGTTAGTGGAGGGAAGCAGCTGTGGCACACACTGGGTGCACAGACAGCACAGGGAATAGCTCCAGCCACTTTGAGATTATTTTGCTAATATCCTAATTTGCTAATTCCTCACAGGGCAAGCAAATGTCAATGCCCCTCAGTCAGTACCTGGGAACAGATGAGAGCTGTGGGGTGAAACAAAGAAACAGCTTCAAAGCATCAATTTTTATTTCCCTGACCAGCCTTTCCTATCTGGGACCTGAAGTGAGACCAGTGACTGAAAGCTCTGCAGCCTTCTCTTATCCCTGGATTTCTGGAGCCAACCAGATAAGCCTATTTTATTTCTTAATCATGAGGCTGGTTAATAGCCACGATAGTGATGTATCTGTTGCTTAGACATTGGGTCATGACAGATTGGATGCATCTTTTCAGCTGCTCCTTGCCCACCCCTCCATCCTGTGGCATTTCACCAAATGAAGGTGGGGGCTGCCTTTGGTGCACGAGGTGATGAGAGGAGAGAAACGGGGGCAAAAAATTAGCAACAACTATTGACTCAAAACAAATGTGCTGAGAATCATGTCCCTCCCTCCTCTAGGCTGTCCTACACCCTGGATCAGTACTGAAGACATTTGGGGCGGGGGAGACCAGCCTGGGACAATCCAGCAGGGCTAATTTTGGAAGTTGCCCCATTGTGTGGCTCGAGGACAAGGAGGAGGGAACTGGTGAGGGCAGGGAGCGGCCCTGGCAGTGGTGGGGACCCTCGTCGCCTCTTTCTAAGACAAACAATAGCTGAACGCAGCTGGTGCCCTCCCCCTCGCTTTCCCCCCCTGCCCCTCCAGGGCCGTTTTGAAAGGCAGCGGGAATGCTTTTGAGACTGCGCCAGTGGTTGGACTGGCATAGGAAACAAAAGCAGGAAATTCTGTTCCCCCGTAGATAGTGTCTCGGCAAGGATTACAAAGCTCAAAACAGACAAAACACGAGAGAGAAGTCGAGCTGGGGGGGCTGGGGGACGACGGGCGGGAGCAGGGTTAGAATAGAAAGGAATTTGCTCTGAAGAGACCGTTTATAAATAAATCCCTGGGCCAGCCCAGCCGCCGTGGCGCGTGCTCCAGTTCCCACACGTGCCGACCCCTCCACGCTTCGCCACTCCTGCTGCTCACTGCACTCAGCCCTGGCCAAGTGACCCCGAGGCCCTGCAGCCCCCGCAGCTCTTATCTAGGGGCACGAGGTGAAGCTTCGCTACCCTGACTTAGCCCCTGTCCCGTAGCTCACCCATGGACACGTGCTCTGCTGCTCTCATCCTAAGAGCCTCTGGGAGCCCGCGGCCTTCTGTGGAAGCTAAACCTGGAAACCCACTCAGTCCTTTCCTCCTCTGTCACTCTGTTTCCACCTCCCTTTTTGCTGCCTCCTAAACTGATCCTTGTCCAATTCAAGCCCTGCTGACTGAGCATCTCCCAGGGTGAAGAATGGCCATCTCAGTTCCTTGCACTCATCTTGCCCATCTCCTACCATTTTTGGAAGCCAGTGTCCAGACAGTTAGGAGATCTAAAAAAGTATCTAGTTACCTCCAGCTCCCACAAATTTCAGGGGGACTAAGTCTGTAAACAGCCAGGTCTTGGCTCCTGAATGGTTCCTACATTTACAATGAAGTCTGTTGATAGTGTGCCTGCTGAAAAACAGAATATCCCCTCCCAGCCCCCCCAGAGACTTAAAAATAGAGGAGTGTTTGGCAAAGAGGAGATTTACCTACGGAGTCTATCTGCAGGGCACGCTGGAGGTCACTGATGGAGCGCACTGAGCTGCCACCCAAAATCTCATAAATGTCTTCGGGTATGGGGTCCCCCTGCCAGATGACAAAAAGAAAAGAAAGGGAGAAACAAGCATTAGAGAGATGATCTGCAAACACTGACTGTGTCATGGAGCAGGAGCAGGGAATCAAGCACGGGGGAAACACAACAGAACCAGCAAAACATAAAGACGTGCGTTGTCTTGCGTTGGCTTTTAAACCTTGAGGGCTGTATTCCTCGTGAAGGCATGAACTGAAAGATAAGCAAAAGCAAGAGAGCCCCTCTCGTTGCTTCTCACAAAGCTGTCAGGAGGCTAAAAAAGCCAAAAAATACCCGGGCTTTGCAGCACAGCCCTGGACACTGCAAGCATCCAGCAAGGCTTCCTTCTCCGGTGCTGTATGACTTCTCCAGGTGGCTTCTCATTCCTGCTGCCTGCAGCAAAGGCGTTTTAACAGACTTCCCTTACACTATCAGATAAAACCTTCCCAATATTTCCCTCCGTTATGAAACTCCTTCACGGGCTTTGTCAGTTATCGTGTGTATGTGCGTGTGCGCGCGCGTGTGTTTTCAAACCACAGAGGCCCAATAATATACATCATTTGCATACTCTTTTTTAAAGCAAAAAAAGGCAGGGGGTGGAGATGAAGATTGACCTTTGCGGCTGAGGCTGCCCCAGCATGAGCCCGCCGTGAAACCATAAAATCTGCAAGGACGTGATGGGCTGAGGAGCTGATTTGAAGGAAGAAACATATGGGAGCTTGGATGTCATTGCACACCAGCACGAAAAAACCTTAAGTAAGCAGGTTTAGCCACAGCAGACAATGGGCCAAATACAGAGTTTGTGCAGGCAGGTGCAATGCCATCAGCCTCTCGGGAATTTTACTCTGGCACTAGGCTACAGCAGGCTCCAGTGACAGCACTTAGTAAGAGTACAAAGGAGCGGTGTGGGAAAGCAAATGCTGATTAAAACATACTTCCGAAAGACTAGAAAAAGAGACAGAGGAAAGTACTGGCCAAAGTGTTTGCTTAGCTCCCAGCTCTCTTCATTCAGGGCTACTCAAGCGGAAAAGCTGCTCTTTCAGCCGGGTGCTGGATGGCGTCTGAGGCACAGCCCTACGCATGTCCCTGTAACTGAGAGGAGAGCTTGGCTTGTGTGCCTGTGAAACGCAGGGATTTTCGTGTGGGTTTTTATGGACAGTTGGTGGCATGTGTGTGGTCCTCCTACTGTACAGCTATTCCCTCCCTGCCTGCGTTTAGCGCAGAACATTTTCTTTCCGCTCGCAGCTGAGAAAAGCCACCAGGCAGGTGGCTAAACGTTGGCTTTAAACCTTGAGAGCTTTGGCCCAAACCTGCAGCCACTTTTGGATGGCTGCTTGAGCCTGGCACTCTCTCACACGTGCCTGTCCTTGGCCACCCACCGTTTGCTTCCATAGTAGGGCAACAGGAGTGCTCTCTCCTCAGCCTTGCCAGACCACCCTCTAATACTATAACTTAAACTGGGATGCAGTGATCTGAAGGTTGCTGCAGCCCAAGGAGGTTCAGAAACCTCCTGAAGAGAGCTGCAGAGCAGACAACGCCAGCGTCCTAAACCTCCACAGCCAGATCCACCAGACAGCTTCAGTCAGATCGAGCTTTCCTGCCCTGCTCTCTCCTTGTCACTGTCACATCTCACCACAGATCTGGCTGTCCGCCTGCAGCAAAAAGCAGATTTTACATCCCCAGGCATTACTTCCTCAGTCTCCGAGGGAGAGGGAAGCAGCATCAGTGATGAATGCACAGCGAGAGAGAGAGACTTGTATAATTCAGGGATCACTGAATAGCTGTGAAATGAAGATGCCTTCTGACATCTCCTGCTGCGTGAGGAAGAGGGGGACCAACAGCCCAGTGCTGGAGAGGCTCTGCAGCACTTCCCTGCCTTGTGCCACACACATTTGCTGGAAGAGGGATCATTTGTAATTCCCAGTACTTGCAGTCAGGGCTCGGTGCTGGGTGGTGAAATTGCAGGCTTTCAATGTTTGCACCTGTCAGCCAAACGCGTTTGTGTACAAATGCTGCTCTGCACGGATGCCCCTGGACCTTCCTGACACTTAATACGTGTAGGAAATGGAACTTTATTTTAAACTCCGGCACTTGCTGGGGGGAGAGCGTGGGCAGGTGTTACGAGACTTGGTGACTTTGGAAGCGAGCTGGGAGGTGTCACCTTGCTAACTGAGCAGGGGGAACAGATATGAATCGGGGATTGGAAGCGCAGGCCCTCAGGAGCCATATTTCTGATGACTGCCTGTAGCAATAAGCTCCACTCCCTGCTCACAGCAGCAGTTTTAGATGCCAATTTTTTCTTGTTGCAGATACTACCAGTATGGCTATGGTGTAACACCAGCCCACACGGCTCATAATCCTATCCTCCTCCCCCATTTTTGTAAGGCAATTCTGTCAGTGACAACTGCAAACCTGTGAAGCTCCTTATTTTAGCCTTGTAAACCAAGGCTAAGTCTGGCCTAAGAGCAGCAACAAACTTGAGCTTTGTGCTTTGTCCTTGCTCCCTCTGGGGTCTGTCACTGTGAACAGCCATGCCTCTGGCCCCCACCCCAGCCCTGTGCCGGGGGGCTCTGAGATCCAGCACTGCACACACCCAGGTTTGGGACACTTGTGGGATGAGACACAGGGAAGCAGAGGTCCACCAGTCACCTCCACTTAATCCCAGGGGTTCAGAAGGTAGAGGAGCATTGCAAGAGAGGTGGGACCCCCAAGAGACCAGCCCAAGCAGCTGGTGCTTTTCCTGCTTAGCAGCTCCTCTGGAGTTATTTGTCTAACACAGGTTAACAATCTCCTTTTTTAACTGTGCGGCAGATCAAAGAAGACTTTTGTCTCAATGGACTCTTGGCTGGCTGTCAAGTGCCCCAAGGCCTGGCCTCGTATTCCTGCGAGGCCCTGAATTCTTAGAAGAAAGTTTGTTCTTCCCTCCCTCCCTCTGCTCCTAGTTCCTGACCCTGACTCTCCCCTGAGTTGCAAGGGCACCCCCTAACCTGCCAGTCCCTTGGCAGGGACATTCACTTCCCTTTCTTGTGCTGGTTGCTGGTGCTTGAGGGGGGCCATGGCACATCTGACAGAAGGCAGCAGAGCAGCTGCTGCCTGCACCGTGGCTGTGACACTGGCCTCTCAGCACATCAGCTTTGCTCCCCTCCTCCCAGATGTCCAGCAGCACTGTTTGGCCACTGCAAATAAATGCAGGTGCAGCAATTCCCCTGTTCCAGCTCCCCACACATGCAGCTCTCCCAAAATCTGCCTCCTCCCTGGCCCCACCATCTCTTGCTCTAGAGTTTTCTCCTCACGTATGCTTTTGAGCACCAGGGATCCTGAAAGGTTCCCCTTGCCATCAGCAGCTGCCAAGCTGGTGCAAGGAATATGCAGTGTTGTTGTCTACACCCTCTGTCGAGGGTTCCAGAGTCTTGCCTGAAGGTGTGTCTCTTGGTAGGTACAGAGGAGGAGGGAGCAAAGATTGTGCAACCAGCAGGGAAGGCAGACCCTCAGGGCTCAGAGAAATCAGACAAGGATACTCCCGAGGTGAGGACTCCTCCAGTTCCTTTTTCTAAACTGGTGTGACTGCACATAAAAGGACAGAATGGTATCAGCAGCACCAGTTTGTGAAGGGCAGGGAAGCACCCATCTGTTGGCTCCTTTGCCCAGGAGAGGTGAACTTGCTGAGCACCTCCATGCCCACCGTGGCAAAAGATCTTGGCAGCAGGGTCTCGAGCGATCAACCAGGCAAAAAACCCCAAACAAACAGCATTTTTTAATTCCTTCTGAAGCTGATGTGTGGCCCCTGAGGGGAGACTCCACCGCATTCCCTGGCAGAGGGCAAGACCAGCAGCACCTGCCACCAGCACTCCCCCAGCACAGGGCTTCCACCCTTCCAGAACCACTCCTGGCTACAGGGGGACCCTGGCAAATGCCTGCCAGAGTACTGTGCAGCAGGTACAACCCTCTTCACACGAACCCCTTCCACTTGGAGTCACGGCTTATGTTTTCCCTCCCTTAAAATAATCAAACAACGTTTGATCTAGTCTGTGTTCCTAAAATACAGCCAGACCTACCCACCCTTTTTCCATTTCAAGGGGGACTCCACTGCTCCTCCCACACCTCCCCTGGGAGGGCTAGAGGCATTTCCACCCTCGGGGCTGGTTGTGTACCAGCAGCACTGGAAACAGCCAGGAGCCCTGTCATTCCCTCCTGCTGCTGCACATCAGCTGACAGTGAGAGGGAGGCAGGGACGATTTGCCTGGCTCCTTCCACAAGCTCACCCCAGACGTGTCATCCATCCCGGCTTCCACTGCTTTGTCCTTGTCACTGCCTCGTGCTAGGAAGACTAGGGAAGAACGGAGCCTTGCAGCAGGAAGACACAATGGGGAGCTGGGCCGAAGCTATAAGCAAGCTCCCAGCCGCACCCCATTCCTTGGGAATTCCAGAAAGTGAGGCTTTACCCCGGTACAACCACGACTGGCTCAGCCCATCTCTGTAAATGTTGCAAGGCAACTATTACAGCCCGTGGGGCAAATGCAAATGGGTTTAGCATCCTCGCTTCCAACTGGCAAACACCTTCCCGCTGAGGCTTGTACTCCCTCCGGCTGGAAGAGCTCCAGGGCCCTCCAGCTCCAGATGGGTGTGATCAAAGAGGGAGAGGGACTCAGGAGGCTCCATCTCTTTGCTCAGGGCCTCTGTTGATCTGGGGAGCTACTGCTCCTCATGCACTTTCTCCAGCAGGGCTGGGGAGGAGCTGCAAGCCCCATTCAGAGGACGACTCTGGTTCAGCAGCCGGGTGGGAGCTGTGCTGCCTGTGCCTGGTGCAGAGGGTGCAGCACACTGCCCTCAAAGGAACCGTGAGCACTGGCTGCAGGCTGAAGCATCTACCCAAGCAGAAACGTTCTTGGTTCTCCTGTCATGCAATGACAAATATCACAATTCCTCTCAGGAAACCTTGGGCCAGAATTACCAAACTCTAACCCTACTAGGCTGTCATAGAGCTGTGCAGTATTTCAATCTGATTATGGCAACTGAGTAACAGCTCCTTGGGATCAGACACTTCCATCTTCACCCTTCCTCAGTGCCAGCCCTAGCTGATGTTTCACGCTGCATGAGAGAAAGAGATTTGTGCCATCCACAGAGGAAATGCCATCCCCTGCCCAAAACAAACATGACCACTGGGTAGCCCACAGCTCTCGCTGCTTCCTTTTGTGGCTTGAGCAAGGGCAAGATGGGCCCATAGTGAGGTGACGTGATGCTTTGCACCCAGCCTCTGCTTTGCCATCCCACGACGGGTGCGCCCACTTACCCTGCCCAAAAATGAGGAAGGAAAAGAGAAAAATGATACAAAGAAGGGAAAGTTTTGGTGGAAGGATGTTTCCTGTCCATGACAATCAAGCTGCAGATACAACCCACAGTTTTGCCATCTTGGGTACAGCTGAAGTGGCAACCAAGCACTGTGTGGGAATGTTAGGGGCTTTCTGATCCCCTCTCTCTGCATGCAATCAGATGATGAAATGTGACAGCAGAGGTCAAAGGATTTGGGGGTTTGGGGCTCCTTTTCCTTAACCAGGGCTGGGGATGAGGCTTCAATTTCCACACAGGGAAACTGAAGTGGGTTGGGGTGTCTGTCAAAGCCACCACCTGGCCCTTACCCTCTGCTCAGCTTCTTCCTCAGCAGCACATTCAGGACTGCAGGGCACGATGCCTGCATGACCATGGACACAAGCAGACACTCACCTCCTGCCCCTTCCCCCAGCCGGGCACAAGTCTTGCTGAATAACCATATCACTCGCTGTCGGTGTGGTGCCACTACTCACATTGTCCCCTTCCTCCCCCTTTCCAAAGCCCCACGCCCTTTCTCCACTGCCCCCCTGGCAATGTCAGGGTGGATTTCACACTGTGCGTTATTCCAGAGGTGTAAAGAGGGCCTCGGTCCCTGCTGCACCCACACTGCCGTGATGCCAAAATCACCGGATGGGGTAAGAGGCTCGAGGGAGCCAGCGCCCGCCCCGGGATGACAGCCCTGGGCGAGGCAGAGCAGGAAGCTGCGAGTTCCCTGGGGCTCACCAGCAGCATCCCTGCTCCCACATTAACCAGGGGCGGCTTCAGCCTGGCTTCCCCTGCCCCTGCAGCCAGACACGGGGGTGGGTGTATTCCCAGGCGAGACCCCCTTGGAGGGCCCGTCCCGACGGGAGCGCCAGCTCCAGCGAAGCGCCCACTGCAGAGGGGTGCCCGCTCCAATGGGGTGCCCGCTCCAGTGGGGTGCCCGCTCCAGTGGGGTGCCCCCTCCAGAGGGGTGCCCGCTCCAGTGGGGTGCCCGCTCCAGAGGGGTGCCCGCTCCAGTGGGGTGCCCGCTCCAGAGGGGTGCCCGCTCCAGTGGGGTGCCCGCTCCAGCGGGCGCTGCCCTCCGGGCGGGGAGCGGCGGTCGCTGCCCGCCATTAGCGCGGCCGGGCCCCGCCGCAGCCCTTCCCGCGGAGCGAGGCCGGGACCGCGCCCCCGGGCTCCGCTCCCCCGCCGCTCCCCGGCCGCCCCCGGGCTGTGCCCGCCGCACCTGCGGGCCGGAGCCGCCGGCGGCTCTCCCCCAGCGCGGGGCTGGCAGCTCGGCAGCACCGCCCGCTGCCCGCGGCGGAAACTCACCTCCATGCGGGCCAGGGGCAGCGAGAGGATGAACGCGAAGACCACGCCGAAATTCATCCCGACTCCAGGCCCCGCCGGCTGCTGGCACATGGACGGCGAGCCCCGGGAGGGAAGCGCTTCCCGCAGACAGCCCCGCGGCCGCCCGGCCTCAGGCATCGAGGGCGCTGCGCGTTCTCATGTCCCCTGCGAGCCGGGAGGAGGTGGGAGAGTCGCAGGAGCCCTTGGAAGAGGACGTGGAGGTGGCGGTGGTGGTGGTGAGGGGAGACAGAAGTAATTCTCGGTGACTCGGCTGCCTCTGCGTTATCTCATAAGCCCGGTGGGAAAAAAATGCAGTCCCTCGGAATTGAACACATCCAGAGTCTGGGTCCCCCTTGCCGCAAGGGATGCTTCAGTGGTTCCTTTGGCTAGGTGGTCCACATGCTATTCTTCCTCTTGGTTTTCTTCCCTTTAAAAAAAAATGTATATCTGTATATCTTTTACATGCAAGTAACAGTGTCTCTGTTCTTAGAAGAAGGTGCACAGAATAATAACTAAAAGGAAAAAAAAAACTTTTCCAAAGTTTGGTGTGAAATCCAAAAGAAGAAATCTTTTTCCTTAAGTTGTCCTCTTCTTAAAATGCTTCTTTCTTCCCTTTGACCAGTTGCTTTTTAGAGAAAAGTTGCCAGTGTACACTGAATTCTTCCCCTTACTTTAGATTCTGGCTCGGATGCCTTCTCATTCCAAGTGTTGGCAGTTTGCTTGGACGGGAGGTTTGCTTTGGGTTTGGAGACAGGTGAGAGCAAATGTTTTTGCTCTGGGTTGTGAGTGTGTTTGTGTGCGTGCGCTGAGCCTTGACAAGCCTCAAAGTGGAGCCACTGATGCTGCCTCTCGCACTCTGTTGCAACAAGAAAGGAAAAACAACAACAAAAGAAAAAAAGCAGAAAAGGTAAAATTGCAGGAGAGGTGAGTGAGCCGACGGGTCTTTATTTTCTGCGAGCTGCAAGAGAGACTAAGCTGGCACTCGGGGCTGCTCCTTTTATGAAGGAGAGGAGATGGGTGGAGCATAACTTGCCATCCTCCTCTTGGCTGGGTATCAAGGAACAAATCTAGTGAGAGGTTCATTGCTGACAAAATTAAAAGTGTGTTAATTTAAATGATAAATTAATTAAAAATGACTAATGCTGCAGCAACCTGTATAATGTGGCTTTAATATCGCGTGAGGAATGGGGACAGAAATTCCTGCCTCCTCGGCAAGAGATAAGAAGAGAGGAGTTCCCGGCACGGTAGTTTGTTATTTTTTTTGGCCCCAGGTTCTCGCTGTTTCAGTCTGGAGCCCATTTCTCTAAGCTCCACTCGCTCCCTTCCCTGCCCTGCTACACCACTAGCTCCAGGGAGAGAGATGACTTTAATATCTTACATCTCTTTGTGTGCAGGGGGAAAAAAGAAGCCAGAGAAATTTACACGTTCCTATAAGACAATCTGGTGTTGCTCGTGGCACCCGGAGGTATTTTGCTGCATGATTATCTCCACGATGTAATAAACATCTGAAGGGAAATTAAGCGAGCAGATATTTGCTGTGGGGGGAGAGGGATGGGGAGGGGAAGGCTGCTAACAGGTGAGTTCAAGAAAGAGTCATATCCTATTGAAAAAACACCCTCTCACGTACACGCGAGAGATCTCCCGGCGCCGACTTGCACACTCACAAAGCACACTCCAGGCACGACCAGGAGGGATCTCTGCACCATCTTTGTGCAGGCTCCACCGATACATTCCTGCACCGTCATGCACCGCAGGCGCTCGGCAGGCGTTCGCTCTGAATCCCAAGCATCTTCCCTGCTTTTTCTATGCTACGCACATGCTTCTGTTCGAGCTGCTCGCATGCACAGCTACGTGCAAATTTTGTCTCATTCACACATCTCTGGGCATCCATGTGTTCTCCTTCACTCTCCCCCTCTCTCTTCCCTTCTCGCATACATACACCCACCGGCATACCGGTGGCCTCATCTCACAGCATCACACATGCTCCCTTAGACTCTCTGGGTGCCTGCAAGTCTCCTGCAGCCAACCCTCTCTGAAACGCACGGTCTGGCACCAGCACTCCCATATGCACCATCCGAAGTGTCCAGGTGCAGGAGGAGCAGCCGCTGGAACTGAGCAGCAGGCACCAAGTGCTCCTCTATAGCAGGCACCTGACAGCATCTCCCAGCTTGGCTGGCTACGCCCCTGAGCCTGATTTGGTCTCATGGATGTGGGTGTTGGTCAGGAAGCACAGGAACACAAAGAATACTGGGGGTCCTCCAAACAGCTTTCTTAAAATAGCCTGGGTCCTCTGGGGCAGCATGTCAAGGCGTTCTTGGGTCACAAGGGATCATCTTTGTTCAGCCTAACCCAGAAGAAGAGTGGGCAGATTTCTCCACAGCTGGGGAGATGGTCAGAGCCTTGTCAGGTCCAAAGCCCAGGCCACCTGAGGTGCATGAGTGCAGGGATAAGGAGGGTCCTAGGAGTCCCTCCAACCAAGTCTCAAGTGGCTCGGTACCAATATTGGAGCTCAAGGGGGAGGAAGTAGAAATGCAAGGCATACCTTTCCTCGTTTCCACCGCCAGAGACCTTAACAAGACTTTATCTTAGATGCTCCAGCCGTGTTAACCCTGTCCCACCCCAAATTCCTCAGGACGCTCTTAGAATTCCCCTCATTCTCCATCCTGGCCTGCCAGCAGCGTACCAGCCATTTCAAGTGATGATAATGTGACTCTAACCCCCCAGCCCGGTGGAGCTGCAACCCAGATGTCCACCTGGGTGCTGAAACACCTTCTGAAACTATAGAGAGCTTCGAAAAAAAAGGTTTTAAAAGTGCCTCAGTCCATCTCACCTCTTTGCAGATGGCACCAGCCAAAGAGACAGTGCAGCCTTGGGCTCCTTGGCAGTCAGCAGGGGGAAGGTGAGGATTTGAGAAGTCTTTCTATCTCTGTAGAGGGATCTGAGGACAGCTGGGTCCTGAATGTCCATGACCCTGTTACATATTGAAGATTTCCAAGGGGTCAGTGGAGGCCCAGGTGCCTTTTGAGGATCTCTGCCCTCAAATAAGCTGGCGTGGCTCCACCACCTTCACACCACCTGTGTGGGGAGTCCCCCACGCTGTAGTGGCTGCCTGACCAGGATAGAACAGCCTGCGTGTGGGAGGGCTGATCAAATTCCTCAGCAGGGAGAGATATTGCTGCCAGAGAGGAGAAGGTCTCAGCAGAAAGCTAACAGGGACTGCTGCAAATTTCTTGCTTGGTAGCAGCAAGAGCTGCTGCAAGGCCTGATTTTGGGGGAGATATGTGTGGTGTGCTTTTTTCTTTTTTTCTTTTTCTCTTTTTCTCTTTTTTTTTTTTTTTTTTTTTTTTTTTTTTTTTTTTTTTTTTTTTTTTTTTTTGAATATCCGGCTCTATTACATGCTAGATGGGATAGAAATAGAGTTATTTATTTTCATGTGGATGATGCTGGGCAGTTTTTAGAAGCTCGGCATCAGAAACAAAAAGCTAATCCCTGTTGAATCTCCAGACAGCAAGGAAGAGGATGTTTGGAATTTGACTGATCATCTACCTATGACCCCGCCTGGAAATAGAGCAAAGTGATATTCAGGCTGCTCTGGCTTCAGTGGTTTTTCCTTACTCTTTCTGTTTTTAAGACGGGACAGATTTTTCTCTAGTGATGTCTTTAGACTGGCTGGGTCAGTCTCACTGGCACCAAGCTGGATAGGGGTGCATGCACCTAAAACTGCTGTGCCTTGAGTCTGCCGGGGGCTCCTTTGATTCTCTTACTTCAGTGCAATTAGATGGACATCTGTCCCACAAAACCCCTAAAACTAATGGGGATGATTGGATCTCCCCCTCACCTGGCCTGTGGGGTGGGCATGGAGGCCTGCAGGGCTATTGGTGTCCCAGATGTCAAGATAAGAGTTTGAAACCACCATGGCATATATTGCAAAGGTATTTTGAGGCTACCTGAAGCATCTGGACCATAAAAATGTCCCATTAGAGCCTCACAACTTGACAAGATCTGGTTGCAACTGTGCTAGTTGGCAATGGCCCTGCAGACAAACCACAACAAAACCAGATTTCCTAAGAGCCTGCACCAGGATTTCTTATTAAAACGCTTTCACCACCGCTATAGTTCTCAAACCTGCAAACAGTTGAACTCATCTCCCTGGTTATTCTCTTATCACCAGGGAGGAGAGCAACACGTGTCTGAGGACAATAGGCAGTTCCTTGCTGTAAGGCTGCTCTGCCCTCATCTCGTGTTGCTGGAAAAAATGATCGTACTAGCCACCATCCACAGCGGCACAAAGTAAGGGGTGATATATATATTATTTTTTAATTTATTACATTTTTTTCAGAGGGGGGTAGAGAATTATGAAACAACAGGAAGAAAAACAGGGCTTACAATGGAAAGCAAGACTCAGTCTGAACAGCTGAGATGTCTCAGCCTCTCCATGATGAGCCCTGTGTCGAAAACAATCAATGGAAAGAAATTAGGAGGTGTTGACAGCCAACGTGTAGTCAGCCCGCCCACTCAAGGTATCTCAGTTAGGTGTTGCTGCTGCTCCGGTCCCTAGGTTCAGGAGAAGGATGAGCAATCCCTGCGCCTACGCCGGGGGCTGCCGCAGCCGTCAATGGAGGGAGACGCCGCGGCACTCAAACGAGGCACCTCGAGTAAGTTTTACACCTCCTTTACACCCGGGGATCCGTTCTGGGAGCGAGCTGGTTTTACACTGCCGGTGTTAAAAAAAAAAAAAAAAAAAAAAAGCCCCCGGTTGAGTGGGGTTTATCCCCACTATCCCAGCTGATAAGGACAGGGTTATCGTGCCTGCTCGCACTGTGTTTTACACCGTTTGCCCCAGAGGTGCTGACATGCGAGCTGCCCCGACTTCCTAATGACTGAGCTCAGTTTAATGGAGGAGGAAGGAGGAAGGGAGAAGGAGAGAGACCAGAGGAAGGAGAGAGGGACAGGCAAGGAGCTTGGTGTTTGTATTTGGTGCTGGAGAAAGGCAGAGCCTCAGGGTACCCAGGGCTTGCATAATTTGCCTTCCCGCCCCTGGCACTGGCAGGGAGAATGCTTTCCAAGGATGAGTAAAACCCTGACAGAGCCA